AACTAAGATGTTGTTTTGTTCTATGTCATCTTCTGTTATATTGTATTGTTGTATTTTTAGTATGCTATTATATGCTATAAGAAGCAAGGTTCTGTTATGTCAGAAAATGTCACACCATTTTTGTGTTGTCGAACCATCTTATGTCGTTCTACTGGTTTACTATGCTATATATATATTATATATATATTAGGTTAGAATGCTAACGGAAGAAGAGACACGAACAGGCACGGAAGAACAAAACACCCGCCGCCGCGCTTTTCGAGACGTGCAAGCTTGATTCAAAGAGTGTTGTCGAAACCCATCATGTGAACGTTGTCTCTGCAAATGGGGGGGGCTGCAACCCCCCCGCTGTTTTAAGCCGTGCAGGGTTGCTTTGAAGCATATGCCTTTTTTTGAAACCCAGCAAATGAGGGCGTCTCCGCCCTTGTAGATACATGCTGAACCAGAATCGCCAAATGAGGGGCGTGTTTAAGATAGATGATGAAGCGGAATACCAGCAACAGCTACAACAGGAAATCCGTTCTAAATGTGAAATTGTAAGGAAAATTTGATCCTCCCGAGGAACAACCATATGTTGTCCATCTGAAAACCTGAAGAAATGACACGAACGCCATAGGTAATAGGAAAATAGGCTTTTTCCTACGAAAAATCAAGGAAAACTTAGAAAATACCACGGAATCCGCAGGAATATCGTGTTTTCCAGAGGAAAACCAAACAGATCCTAAGGAAACAAAAGAAAATCACTAGGAAAACAGTGTTTTCCCTTGGAAAAATTCAGGAATTGCTGTATTCTAAGTGATTTAATTTCTTTTCGATCCTTATTTTAATTTTTTTTGATGCCTCTGCCCCAGGAAATGCTGTATTTTGAGTGATTTAATTTTTTTTGATCCTTATTTTAATTTTTTTTGATCTTTCCATTTAATTTGTTTTTGATCCTTATTTAATTTTTTTTGATCCCTCACCCGAAACAAAAGGGGGAGCCTGAGGCTGTAGTTACAGGGTTTGTTGCCGGCCAATGCTTACCCACACGACGGGCAGCACCAAATGTACGTAAGCTTGACCACTTGTGATTTTCGTGGTTCACCGGCCAAGAGCAAAGTTTCCTGCTGGTCAAGGCTTGCAGGACACGTTCTCAACTGCTTGTTTGGAGCCTCCCCTCTGATCCTTGCAACCCGAAGAACCCGGAATCGTAGGTCGTTACATATACAGCCGGCAGATTCCCAGTAGCATTCTGGTGGAAAGTTCTCTCCGAACCCGGCTTATCCTCGCACCATGTCTACGTTCGTGTAATTGCGGACAGTCCAGATTTTGAAGAAACCGAGTCCCAGAAGAGTCGGGGGACTGGAAGGGCCATTCGGAGAGGCGTGGCAAACCTTCAGTGGCTCTTGTGGCTCTGGAGAAGCTCTGTGCCCCGAGGGCTTCAACTCGTTCAACCGCTTCCAACAACACATCGTAGCCCTCAACGCTCCAGCTTGACCCGTGAACGTCCCGAAGAGGCCTTAGAGATCTTCGTGGAGGCATCAGCAGCGCTCGTCCCAAACATCGTGGCACGGAACGCAGCCACTCGGAGGCCCTAGTGTTTTCGTCATCCCTCTCCTCTCCTGATATACGTATGCAGCTGGAAACAGGACCTTGTTCTGCCTTCTTACATTGCAGCATCGTCATCCAAGCTACATGTAACTTCTCAAGGTACAGGTACTGGTAGCTTCTCAAGGTTCTTCAGCATCTCTTGTCTCCGGAGCACGCCTCCACGAATATAAACGTGGATCCTGGTTGAAAAGTATTCAGACCAGTACAGAGGGGGCAGTTTCCACTGTGTTTGAATGAGCAGTGCCGTTATTTTGAACAATCCTTCGTCTAGCAGGTCCATCCAAACTTGGGCGTAGTTCTTCGCGAGGGTTTCGCGGTAGTGGCGGAGTCAACGACTGGCGTTTGGCGGGCGGGCTTCTGTTGTGGAAACTGAGTCATAGTGTCAGAGTGGCAGTTTGATAAACATCTTTAATAGACTTAGCCAAGCTAAGTCTGTGAAGCCCTCACTGAAGTTACAGTGTCGGGCCTGAGCCTCGCCCTGAATCGCCCGGACTCGAATCCCGGCTTTCGAAGCTCTAAACACGCAGGGCCCATCCTTAAACCCGCAGTATCTAAACCCGAAGTCGAAGATCCGAGAGAAGCCAAAGGCTCAAAGCGCATGCGCCAGCGTGGGTCTCTGGGCCTTGTCTCTCTCCGGGTTTCAGGCTGGACTGCGTTTTTTCTTTCGTTCTGGTCTGGCAGGGCTTTTGGGAAGATTTATTTCGAACTCGCAGTTTTGGTTTTGGGATACGGGGCAAGTCGGGAGAAGCCTTGCTTTCTTCCAGGTTGAGCTTCGAGCTTGTTCGTTGATCAAGGCTGTTGTTCCTGGGCTTGTCCGATTCACGAGGCCAGGAGCGGCAATAGCAGCTTCAGAAGCTTTTCATTTGTAAACGCTCACACTGAAGCAGTTTGAAGACCAAAGCTGACATGGATAAACGTCAGTGCCGACGGCAACTTCCTGCAGCTAGAAAAAACGGCTCTGCCACTGCTACCGCTACTACTTCCTACTATTTATCCCTCCCACTTGCACGGCTTCCTCAGTGCTTAATGGTCTGCCAGCTTCTTGTTTTACATATGGCCTCCGAACTCTCACGTTGCAAGATCGTGAAGCCAGCAAGATGCAGCAGTGAGGCGTCTCGGGGGAGAGACCTTGTCAGCATCAACACAGCTATGGACGCCTGCGACAAGGCCAGGAGTATTGGCATGTTGCTATGTTGTTTTTCCATTCCCCGATCAATCGGCGTTTTTGAGATCTTGGCTCTTCAGGATTCTTCAGGCATGGAATGATGACGATGGTGACGCTGCTTATGATGATCATGACGGACTGTGCTGTTCGTGCTCGCTCTCGGAGCTAGCTGCGATATGTGGCTGTTCCCCATGCAGCGACTACACGATGCCACCTCTTCTACTCTAAGCTGCTCGACTCGATCCTGTCCTATGCTCTACAAAACTATGCTACAATATGCCACACTATGCTACACTACACTATACCATAATCGACCACGCGAGGGTCAGATCTCAAGGCTTCGGAGCACCATGAGAGAGAGGACAGAGCCTTGATTGCAGCCGTTACCATCTGAACGGGGCTCCGAAAGGTGACGGTCATCTGCTTTTCATGCGTCTGACACATGGTTGTATACATTTATGTGTCCGCACACATACCTGTGCTTATCTTTATACAGGCACATATGTATGAATGTGTGTAATGTATTTTGTTGTACATATATGTGTATGTGTATATATATATACACATAGATAGACAGATCGATAGATAGTTTGATGTACATATACACAGATATACATATGTACATATATACATAGATACATAGATACATATATATATATATATATATATATATATATACATATACACATAGTAAGAAATACATATACATATATACAGAGATACATATATACATATATACTTATATACTTATATGTACATATGTACATATATGTACATATAAGTATATATATACATTATAAACAGTATATGTATACAAGTATATATATATATACACACATATAGTTATATATATTTGTATATATATATATATATGCATATATTCTGGGCTTGGTGGGGAAAGGGACAACCTGTCGTGCTCTACATGGGGAGAGGGGGATGAGGTATGGTTGTAGTACAGTACAGCATAGTTTTTCCTCAACGCCTATCCGGCTGCAAGGCTCGGAGATGGGAGTGGGCTGTGGAAGCCTTGCAGAGCCCCGGCTTCTTCCGACTTGTTGGTTGAGTTTAGAGATTTGGTTATACCATAGTTTCGGCCAGTCAGTTCGAAGAAGTCTCCGAGCTCCTCGCATCATGTGCAAAAGCTTCGCAGACGAAGGTGAGCTGCTACATGTCATTGATTCGCTGCAATGTGGCGGTGTTACCGCCCGGATTTTCGGTTCTATTTGCGAGCTAGTTGTTGTTTTTTGTCACGGGTAGCAACGATTTCAGCAAGTCGCAGACACTGCTTGATCCCACACGAAGTGAGAGTGCGATTGTCTGGCGGCTCCCCAGCGGCTGGTTTCGGTCAGCTACTTGAAGTTCATAGTGGTTGAAGATGAAGTTTTGGTCGTTTGCCAGTCATCCTTGCATGGCTGCGCCTTAAACCCTCGCAGAAACGGCACAGGAATCTCTGAAGATCGAACTTCTCTAAACCTTAGACCATATCGGGAAGCCCAGCAGTCTAAACTGCATCTCAGGCACGCGGCGGTGGCCTCTCTCGTGCCTGACGTTGTTCGGCGCCCGTCGGGAGATGGGGTTTACAATCCCGAAGCCAGATTGAGGTTTGGAGTGGCCTTGGAAGAACCTGGTCAAGCTAAGTTCCGGACCCTCAGAGGAACCCTTGCATCCTCCCGACTGCTTCGTAGGTGTATTTCAAGCTGTTTCCAGCTGCAGAGTCTGCTTGTTTTGTGCCCACGACGGACAAGACTTGCTTGCTTTCGAAGTTGCTATCTACATAATTACATGCTGTATACGCATGTAGGTATATAGACGCGCATTTACGGTGATGATCACGCTGATGATGATGTTCACGTGAATAATAGGTATTCGGTATTCTGGTAGCCCTGGAAGCCTGAAGCAGGAACCCTGGAGCCGGTTCTGCAGCGCCTGTTTGAATCCGGAATGAAGGTTTGGGATTTAGGACTCGGGGGACTGTTTTGCTGATCTAAAGCTTTGCCCTTCCAGCGCAGCGGCGCCGAAGACGCTAGATACTAGGTTTTTGTGTGTTTTTCTGGAAGAGGGTCCTGCAGGCCCTGTATTTGAGAGAGGCGCAGCGCTCGAGCGGAGGTATGTTTCGAGGAAGTATCGATGCAGACGTTTGAGCCCTCTTGGTGCATGTTGTAAGCAGCAGTTGCCTATGCGACCCAAGGCCCCTGCAGCTGTGGATTCAGCCATTGAATAGCCTCCTCTGCATGCCCATGGCCCCATGGCGCACCGCCCCAGTGGCCAGACGCTTGCCGGCGCTGAAGGCCACTTCGACCGTTGCCAAAGGAATAAGGTCGGTGGGTGGATGATGCTGAGGAGGTGGTGGTTGTGGTAAGTTGCAGTTTCCTGCTGTATGTTCTTTCGACTCGCGTTTCTCTCAGCTCTGTGTCTGTCTCGCCGTCTCTTTTTCTCTCTATCTGTCACGGCAGCGGTCGTAGTAGTAGTGGCAACAAGCTGAACTTGAAGTTTCTTTTCATTCTGTTTGGTTGCACTGTCGCTGTCACCACAACGGTTTCGTCCTTGCCGTGCACTTCGGTAGTGTCGGTGCTTCTTCTCAGGCGGCCTGGCGCTCCTCGACCTGGCATCCGTGGACGAGCTCCCAGCCAATTTCCGATGCTACTTCCTTGCTTCCTGTCCCTGCCCGTAGCGCGCCTAGTTTGAAGTGTACCACTCCGGACAGTTAGGTAATTCGTTGTATCAGCATTTCCAGAGTTCCGGATGAGACGGAACACGGCTCGAAGAGCACTTGGAAGCTCGAAAAGTTAGGCCTCGCCCCAAAGCGGCAGCTGCAAAAAGCGATGGCAGCTGAGTGTTCAGTTGCTAGCAGATAAGTTCTGAGACTCTGATGTTCAAGGCTATCGCTTGCATCATGCGATCGCAGAGGCAAAGAGGGTGACTTCATCCCGCAGCCGCTGCAGTGGGTAGATACAATCTTATCTTTCCTTTTTCGCGTCCTGCAGCGCATTATTGGGATGGCGCAGCGTCCATCCAATCTTGCCCTTGCTGGGGCAGCCGCAGGCTAACTGTGAAGCTCATGGGGGGGAATACTCGGTTTCTCGATCCTCTTGCCAAGGGCTTTGGTTTAAGTTCTTCAGGCCAGAGGATTAGTCCATCAACTTGGGTTTGGGGCCTTTGGGGTTTAGGATTACTTGGTGGAAGCTGCTGAGTCTCTGGAGCTTGCCCGTCGTCTCTGGCCCAAGAAGACCTCTGCACCCAACTATCCAATGGCGATGAGCCTCCAAAAGTCTGTGGCGCTGCGGCGCCTTCGCGCCGACTGGCAAGAACTCCAAGAGCATCCCCTGCGTGGGATCGCAGCAGCACCACTCGCTGAGAATCTGCAGGAGTGGCATGCCAACCTCACCCCAGAGCATGGCCACTACGCAGGGCTGCTGCTACATGTGGTCCTGACGTTCCCGGACAACTACCCGACGGATCCTCCCAAGGTCCGGCTCCGCACCAACATCCCCCACTCGAACGTCATCCCACAGCTGGGTCAGGAGAAGAACTTCATTTGCATCGACATGTTGAAGAACTTCTTCTGGATGGGCGGCGAGGACAGCAGCAGACTCTACGAGGGATGGAGCACTGCTTACAGCGTCTCATCCATCCTCCTACAGGTTCAGTGCTTCCTCTTCGATGAGTGGGCACAGAACTACGACGGCGGCTACAAGCACACCTTGTGGGATGCCGTCATTGAGGAGGGCGGCCACCGAAGGAGTGCCCAGGAGGTGCGTCAGCGCTTGCAGCGCGCTCAAGAGGAGGCCGTGGCCTTGACGTGCAGCTGTGGGCACTGTGGGACCAAGCCGTGGCCCGTACTCGAGGTTCGCATGGGCAGGGTTCCTGGCATCCACTTGGTCGGGGACACTCCGGTAGCGCACGACGTCACTTTCCACATCGACCGTGTCCTCACAGACGGCAAGATGGAGGTGACACCGAAGGGCGGCAAATCTCTCACCGTCACGGCCTCGCACTTTGCGCCGGGCCCCTTTCCTTGGAGCCAAGAGCCACCCAAAAGCCATACAGCCGCCGCCTCGCAAGCCGTTCAAGCGCTGGCGAAAAAGCCGATCGAATGTCAGCTGGACTGCCTGGAAGTAGAGAGCTCGGGCTGCAGTGCAATGCTGGAGTCCAGCTCGGAGCCTTCGAAGCAGCAGTGTGAGCGTGAGCTCCCTCTTCCTGGCTTCCGGGGCCCTTCCCCTCGCAAGATCGAGAGAGCCTATGGCATCTTCGTGGACATCGGGGCAGCAGAAGCGGGTTTGGTGCACGTCTCACGGCTCGGCTCCCTGGACATCTCGCAGACCCAGCTCGGAAACGAGGTGTCCGTGCAGATCCTTGCGCAGCAGCCCAAGCTGCAGTTGGCAGGGCCCACCCCGCAGGTGGCCGAGCTACAGTCTGTCGTGGTGCCGATGCAGGTACTGCCCCGGCCACAGGCTCAAACTGCGAACGACGAAATGCTGCTCCCAGGCAACCTTGCCGCTCTGCCAAAGCCGCTCTTCGCGCGAGTGCTGCTGCAAGGCCTGAACTTGGCAGACTTGGGTCAGTTGACTCATGCATCAAGATCGTTGCGAGCTATGTCAGAGCAGGCTTCGAACATCTTCTGGGACCTTCGCAGCCTCTGCTGCTTCCATACCCGCACCCGCTTCGATGAAGACGGCTGTGTCCTGGGTGTGGGGGTTGCCATCACTGAGGAGGATGGCCGGAATCACCTCACCTGCGACTTTGATCCGATCTCGAAGCTGGCTTTCCATGAACTTGGTGTTCGCAAAGGCGTCTGGAAGAATAAGATCTCATACTGGCTACCGCTGGCCATCGACGCCCAGCATTTCCAGTGGGCGACAGCTTCTTTGAGCAAAGTCCTCCAGGTGCTGGGCACCGGGAAAGTGGCGGAGCAGACGCGGTCCTTTGGCCGGAAGCCTGGGCGGATTGAGCCCGCGCAGTCCAGCGTCCCAGCCCTCAGCTTCGATGAGTGGCTGCAGTCCCGGGCCAAGAAGTCTGAAGCAGCGAAACTAGGCCCTTCTTGAACATAGAGGCTACAGTGTCAGTAATCGTAGACTTTCAAAACGGAGCAGCATTAATTACACTCATAGTTACACGGATACATATAGTTTTCGAAGGGCTTCAGAGTGAACAGCCTAGGAAAGCCAAGTTCGAAGCTTTCCTTGCCGGGACGCTCGAGCTAGAGGAGAAGGTTCCAGAGAAGGCTCCCACTCCGCCTAAGCCCAGCTTCGACGCATCGGTGGTGTTGGATGTGCTTCCCAAGCTGATGAATTCCCAAGTGGTCTTCCTCATGAAGGGTGAAACTTGGGCGTCGCGCAAGGCACTTAGTGGATACATGGGCTTCCACCATCTCTTGCTTTGCATCTGCCGCGATGAGCCAGCGGTGCAGGCGGAGCTGGAGAAGCGCATTGAGAATTTCATGGCGGCGGAGGAAGAAAGGGTGAAATCCAAGGTCCCGAACTTGGGGGAATTTATCTTCTTGATTGCGGCGTCTACTAAGCGCGATTGGCCCTCAGTTGCAGACCCTCTTCTTGCAGAGGTCTTCGACAGAAACGTCCTTTGGCTCCTGAAGAAGTACCCACATTTCGGCCAGCTCAGTGATGTGGGCGTCAGCAAGGAGCGCCTGCGGGCGACCTTCGACACAGCTCTGGTCTCCATGCGGCTGATCATGTTCAACGCCTGGTTCCTGAACAACGTGGCGAAGCCTGCGGGCGAGGAGGGCGTGGCTCCGCTGCTCCGCTACGAGCGGACCGCAGTGCGGAGAATTTGCGAGGTTAACACCTGGGAGGCCTACTTCGATTCCCTTGGCATCAAGCGCATCGCTCCCTTGGAGCTGTGCCGCTGGCTGCGGCAGAGCGTACTGAATTCTTCCCGGAAGGGCTATCACAGACCGGGCAGGTTTCAAAACCGTGCCAGGCCTGTGAGGAATGATAGGCCTGTGAGGAATGATTCAGCGTGGGATGCTTGCGACCAGATGGCTGATGCTTGGGAGTGAGGCTGTGAGGCTCCTTGAACAATTTTGTCTGTTTCTACTTATCCTTCGTCGCCGGCCCTGGATGGCCTTTGAGTGAACCCGACGGCCATGTGTACAGCTGTGTACAGTGTATAGAGATGAAGACAGTCCTGACATGTCCTGGTGGCGTAGGGGACAGAGATTATGTGATCGCACTTCGAGGTAAACGCAAGCAGGGACATTGCAAGCCCCTCACCAAGATGCAGTCATCTTTTTATGCGCTCTATCCATCGCGAAGACCATACCACAGGTTCCCCGAAGTATCCAAGCCTAAGGGCCGTTCTTGTGGTACTCTTAGAATCTTGCACACCGTCGGTGCAGCGTTGCTTGCTGTTCGTTGCGCAGAGAGGGGCCTGCTGATGAGTTCCGCAGTGGGCCCCTAATGCCCCTACAGCCTCACCTGAAAGCAACGGCCCCAATGCAGACATGCTCATCACCGCTTTCCTTGGTCCCAAATGCAAGCAGCCTCCTGAAGGAAACCGGGAATACAGGAAGGCTGTTTGCCAAACCCTCATTGACTCGCAAAGACTATTGCTGAAGCCTTTCACCCTTACAGGTTGAATGCTCCGCCTGAGTAACCAAGCGCCACCGGTCGGAGTCACACCGAACTCTGCATGAAAAACTGGAACCGAGCGAGCGCATGTGAGCGCCAATGTATTGGCAGCAGCACCCAAAGCTGAAGCAGTTGCGAAAGACGTTTGGATTCGATTTCCGTGGCGCAATTGGAAGGCTTGGAAGCAGCCAAAGCATTCTTTAGATAAAGGCACGTGTGTCCGCTGAGCCCGCGGGCACTAGCGCCGCTCCGGCCGGGGGTGGAGGTGCTGTGCGAAGAATAGGAAAACGGGAATACAAAATTTATTATGTAGAAGGAGAACGAAGGACCGAGGACGGGGTTGGCAGATGTTGGCACATGCAAAACCCAAGTCCTGTCGGAAGGTGGTCTTGCACTTCTGGGCTCTGCCACAAATGCCTTCGTCACCGCTCCGCAGGAGGTGCGCTTCGTAAGAAAGGTTGAAGTGGATGTTTCCGACCTTGAAACCAAAACCTTTTGCCGAAATGGCTGCTTGTACAAATGAGCGAGCCGTATATCCACCGGACTTGCACAGCCGTGAACAACAGAAGCTGGCAGTCCTGTATCCCAAGACGATGCCCCATTTCAGCCCAGCGCAACACCGTATTCGTTCAAAACCCAGGGCAACATAAAGAGAAGAAGTCTCGATATACGCCTAAAGGACTTCTTCGGTTGTCAATGCCCACTGCAGAGTCTGTACAGGATTCCCAACCAGATCGTCTAATACTTGTGCACTATGGAGATGGATCTGCAAACAAGCGCTTCATCGTCGGCCAAAACACCCTAGAGCCCCGAGCCCGGCGAAGGCCAACGCACCGAGCCTGCGCGGCACTTCCGTGGCCCAGTCTCAGGCTTGATCGGGGCTGTTTCTGATGTTCCTTTGGTTTTGCTTCAGGCTCTTCTGGCTGCTTGCTGATGCAACAACTACTGTGACCACCGAAGCTTCGACTATTACTACTGCTGCTGCTGTGGCAACTGCTGCTGCTGTACCGCTACTGCAATTATTGCTGCTGGAGAAAAGGACTCAAAGGCCCCTAGCAACTGCAGACATTCACGGAGCCATCGCGAGGCCCAGGCGGCGGCCTCGGGGAGCTCCCTCTCCGCTCCTTGGCCTTCGCGAGCTTTCGGTTGTCCATCCACGTCATTCTGTCACCTGCCACCCCCGTCAATCGGTAGGGCTTCATAAGCTTCCACCGTCTTGGCCACGAGGAAAAGCAGCACAGGGGGGAAGCTTCAAAGGAACGGAACGTCTGCTGTCCATGAACTTCGGCCGACCTGAAATTTCGGCACGGTGGCACACGTGGAACTCTCGAGGTTACTTCGCCGTTTCCATGTGGCTTACAGACGTCCTGTTGGCCAAGCAAGATCTGAAACCAGGTGCAGTGCTGCTGGCCAGCGCCTTCAATAAGGTCAAACGTGCCGCGGGTGGGGGCGGATGCGCAGATGCAGACGAACAACGAGCTCGTATCTGGTCAAAACTCACGTGCCACCACCGAGGCTCTCGCCGCCGGTGGTGCGGTTGCCGCGGCAGCTGTGGCTGCCAGCCGCCCAGGCAAGCCTTCCAACTGGACGACGTTTGATGTGAGGGCTTGTCGGTAGTCTTCATTCTAGTTTTGTAGGCGTGTTGTGTGATTGTTTGGGCTTGTACCAGGGGTTTCAGGCCCACATATAAGATCATCTGGCAGCGCTTAACAGTCAGTGCAAGTGTTATGAACAGACAGTTACTATCATTCCTGGCAACAGCCAGCACTAGCATCCTCGCTTTTCATCTCATGTGTTCTAACGTCTGTTGTCGTTTGTGCAGCCGATAGTCAAGAACAGCAGCAGCAGCAACAGTAACCACGACAACAACAACATCAGCATCAACGACAGCGGCAACAACAACCACCGCAACAGCCGCAACATCCTCATCAACCACAACAGCCACAACAGCCACAACAGCCACAACAGCCCCAACAGCCACAACAACCACAACAACCACAACAACGACAACAACGACAACAACCTCATCAACCACAAGCGGCACAACAACCGCAACAGCCACAACAACCACAACAACCGCAACCACACCCACAGTAACAACAACGACAAAAACAACGACCATGGACAGCGCCAGTGCCACCAGCACCACCAGCACCACCAGCACCACCAGCACCACCAGCACCACCAGCACCACCAGCACCACAAGCACCACCAGCACCACCAGCACGGCACCAGCACCACTTCCAAGAACAGCAACAAGAATAACAGCAGTAACTCAGCAATCCCCTGCAGAACAGCAAGAACAAGAAATGCACGAGCAACAACAACAATAACAACATTGACAACAAGGATAGCAAGAACAAGAAACAACGATAAGATCAAAAATTACAAGAAGACCAAGATGAACAAGAAGAGCGAGACAAAAACACGAATAACAGTAATAATAACAATAGAAACAAGAACAATAATATCAACAATAACAACAACAACAGCAACAAGGAATGATAATCACAACGATAACAATAAACACGCCAAGCGCAGCAACAGCAACAACAGCAACAATGATGACAACAAGAACGGCCACCACAACAGCCACAACAACAGCCACAACAACAACATCAACAGCAGCCACAACAACAACCGCAACAACAAAAGCCACAACAGCCGCAACAGCCGCAACAGCCGCAACAGCCACAACAGCCACAACAGCAACCACAAAAACTACACCAAGCACAACAACTGCAACTACAATAAGCACAACAACCACAAAGATAACGACGTCGCCAAAATCACATCCAGCAGATGTGCAGTGTGATGATGGGTGGCAGGGTTGTTGCAATGGCAGTGATAGTGAGCGTTGAGGTGATGCATGATGGTGGGTTGGCGTCGCCAACGGGAGGGACGTTGTATAGTCCGCGTTCAGGGCAGCTAAAAAAAGGGAGGTAATGTATGCTTGGTGAAAAACGCGAACAGAACCACACGAGCAAGCAAGAGAACCGCACAAACATCTGGTGGTTATGCTGGTGATGATTGTTCTGACGTTGATCTTGTTGACGCGCACTGTGCGACAGCCAAACATGTCTGTTGTTCTCAAGATTGTGAGTGCTGTCGTGGAATACCGCACTGCAACCTGATCGTCTGCAGAAACCTCCTGCACTCGCACCAAACCAGTGCCACAGCGTAACACCCCCTGGCCTCGGTGCTTGGTGGGTTCGGGGCTCAGGGTTGTGACGGTCATGGGGTATGCGGTTTTGCGGAACCCTGTTCTGGTCATCAAGCCGTGAATTGGCAAGGACGCCAGACACGCAGCACCATCCTCCCTACAACCGTGGTGCCAGTGAAGGCAAGAAGGGATTTACTACCCACGGGCAACTCTTGAGCGACTGCCGTTCAATCACGATTTCTCTATAATGCCAGCAACTGTGCAGGGCTGCGTTACGTCCTTGCAGGAGAGCCGGGTGGCCCGCAAGGCATTGGACCAGTCCAGCCGATATGCAGATCTGTCCCTGGACGAGGCCACGCTTATCAAGAGACTCGGCTGCGAGGCGGAAGTTACATGCGTGACTTTCGTCCGATTGATGCATGCTTGTTTCTATGCTGTTGCAAGGAACGGCAAGCACGTGCTGGTTGCGTACATCATGAAGCCGAAGGCGGGCTACGACTACCTGGCCACCGCCGCCCACTTCGCCGCCGAGTCCTCCACCGGCACAAACGTGAATGTGTGCACCACCGACGACTTCACGAAGTCGGTGGATGCCCTGGTGTACTACATCGACCCTGACAGCGAGGAGATGAAGATCGCCTACCCGACCCTGCTGTTCGACCGCAACATCATCGATGGGCGTGGCATGATGTGCTCCTTCCTGACCCTGGCCATCGGCAACAACCAGGGTCGCGGGCTCAGAACCCCGTGCTGATAAGATGAGCAAAGCGGTACTAATGTAGTCACTGATTGCTATTTCTGTGGATAGCGTCATGTGTGACGAGCGCATGGTTCAGGCATGGGCGATGTCGAGTACGGCAAGATCTACGACTTCTACCTGCCCCCGTCCTTCCTGCGCCTGTATGATGGGCCAGCCGTGAATGTGGAGGACATGTGGCGCATCCTGGGCAAGGGCACCAGCAACGGTGGCCTCGTGGTGGGCACCATCATCAAGCCCAAGCTCGGCCTGCAGCCCAAGCCTTTCGGCGAGGCCTGCTACGCATTCTGGCAGGGCGGTGACTTCATCAAGAACGATCCTAGACCGTGCGGGAACAAAAGCGTCAAATAAGCTTTAATGTTAGCATGGTGTATTCCATTTAAATATATTTAAATTGAGCAAGGAAATGGGTTGTTGAAGAGCGTCCATGCAGCCCAGGATGAGCCGCAGGGCAACCAGGTGTTCTGCCAGATGAACGAGTGCATCCCCGAGGTCGTGAAGGCGATGAGGGCTTGCATCAAGGAGACCGGTGTTGGTAAGCTGTTCTCGGCCAACATCACCGCGGATGATCCAAACGAGATGATCGCCCGCGGCAAGTACTGCCTGTCCCAGTTCGGACCTCTGTCCGAGAACTGCGCATTCTTGGTGGATGGATACGTCGCAGGAGGCACCGCCGTGACCTGCGCCCGCCGCAATTTCCCCAAGCAGTTCTTGCACTACCACCGAGCCGGACACGGATCCGTGACCAGCCCCCAGACCCAGCGCGGCTACACCGCCTTCGTGCACACGAAGATCTCCCGAGTTATCGGTGCGTCCGGCATCCACACTGGCACCATGAGCTTCGGCAAGATGGAGGGCGATGCCTCCGACAAGAACATCGCCTTCATGCTTCAGGACGATGAGGCCGACGGCCCTTACTACCACCAGGAGTGGGAGGGCATGAAGCAGACCACTCCCATCATCTCCGGTGGCATGAACGCCCTGCGTTTGCCAGCCTTCTTCGAGAACCTTGGCCACTCCAACGTGATCCTGACCGCCGGCGGTGGCTCCTTCGGCCACAAGGACGGACCCAAGCCTGGTGCCATCTCCTGCCGACAGGGCGAGGAGGCCTGGAAGGCCTGGAAGGCCGGACAGTACGGCAACATCAGCCTGAGCGATGGCGTCATCGAGTTCGCCAAGACCCACGAAGAGATCAAGGGTGCCTTCCTCACCTTCCAGAAGGACGCCGACCAGATCTACCCTGGCTGGAAGGAGAAGCTCGGCTACACTGGCGAGTCCTCCGTGCAGGCGGCCAGCTTCGACTGGGCTAAGAAGGCCTCCGCCGCGGCCTTCGTCGGTGCCAGCGTGGCCCCCGCCAAGAAGGAGAGCAGCGTCTCGCGCAAGGCCCTGGATCAGTCCAGCCGCTATGCGGACCTGTCCCTGGACGAGGCCACCCTGATCAAGAGACCTAGCTGCCAGGGGGAAGTAGGCAGAGCGTTTGCATGGCATGATCGCGCGTCTTTTGTAGAGATTTCACATAAATTGATCGCCCATGAACCCTTTTCTGATGTGTTCACACTAGTTCCCTCGTGTGTCGAGGAACGGCAAGCACGTGCTTGTTGCGTACATCATGAAGCCGAAGGCGGGCTACGACTACCTGGCCACCGCCGCCCACTTCGCCGCCGAGTCCTCCACGGGCACGAACGTGAACGTGTGCACCACCGACGACTTCACGAAGTCCGTGGATGCCCTGGTGTACTACATCGACCCTGACAGCGAGGAGATGAAGATCGCCTACCCGACCCTGCTGTTCGACCGCAACATCATCGATGGCCGCGGCATGATGTGCTCCTTCCTGACCCTGGCCATCGGCAACAATCAGGGTCGCGAGCTGAGTCGTTCTGCCAGCTGACGTGTTGCTGTAGGTAGGAGTTGGAGGCATGCTTGGTATGATTTGAGAGACGGGCACATGCGGCATGATGCAGGTATGGGCGATGTCGAGTACGGCAAGATCTACGACTTCTACCTGCCCCCGTCCTTCCTGCGCCTGTATGATGGGCCTGCCGTGAACGTAGAGGACATGTGGCGCATCCTGGGCAAGGGCACCAGCAACGGTGGCCTCGTGGTGGGCACCATCATCAAGCCCAAGCTCGGCCTGCAGCCCAAGCCTTTCGGCGAGGCCTGCTACGCATTCTGGCAGGGCGGTGACTTCATCAAGAACGATCCTAGACCGTGCGGGAACAAAAGCGTCAAATAAGCTTTAATGTTAGCATGGTGTATTCCATTTAAATATATTTAAATTGAGCAAGGAAATGGGTTGTTGAAGAGCATCCATGCAGCCCAGGATGAGCCGCAGGGCAACCAGGTGTTCTGCCAGATGAACGAATGCATTCCGGAGGTCGTGAAGGCGATGAGGGCTTGCATCAAGGAGACCGGTGTTGGTAAGCTGTTCTCGGCCAACATCACCGCGGATGATCCAAACGAGATGATCGCCCGCGGCAAGTACTGCCTGTCCCAGTTCGGACCTCTGTCCGAGAACTGCGCATTCTTGGTGGATGGATACGTCGCAGGAGGCACCGCCGTGACCTGCGCCCGCCGCAATTTCCCCAAGCAGTTCTTGCACTACCACCGAGCCGGACACGGATCCGTGACCAGCCCCCAGACCCAGCGCGGCTACACCGCCTTCGTGCACACGAAGATCTCCCGAGTTATCGGTGCGTCCGGCATCCACACTGGCACCATGAGCTTCGGCAAGATGGAGGGCGATGCCTCCGACAAGAACATCGCCTTCATGCTTCAGGACGATGAGGCCGATGGCCCGTACTACCACCAGGAGTGGGAGGGCATGAAGCAAACCACTCCCATCATCTCCGGTGGCATGAACGCCCTGCGTTTGCCAGCCTTCTTCGAGAACCTTGGCCACTCCAACGTGATCCTGACCGCCGGCGGTGGCTCCTTCGGCCACAAGGACGGACCCAAGCCTGGTGCCATCTCCTGCCGACAGGGCGAGGAGGCCTGGAAGGCCTGGAAGGCCGGACAGTACGGCAACATCAGCCTGAGCGATGGCGTCATCGAGTTCGCCAAGACCCACGAAGAGATCAAGGGTGCCTTCCTCACCTTCCAGAAGGACGCCGACCAGATCTACCCTGGCTGGAAGGAGAAGCTCGGCTACACCGGCGAGTCCTCCGTGCAGGCAGCCAGCTTCGACTGGGCCAAGAAGGCTTAGGCGGAGACTTCGGCTGGTACTTTAGCCCTACATGTGGGTTCTCTTATGGATCGCGGTTGGTTGTGCGACGCATTTGGCTACCGCTGATCACAGACTTGCCCGCTTTTTGCTTATCCGTCCTGAGTTTGAAACGTCCCGCATCATTTCCTTGCTCCGCGGCTTTGCTGCTGGGTACGTCAACGCGACCAGTATCAACTATTACCTAAAACCGCGACTCGGTTTAGATACTACCGACCAACTGCATACTACCTATTGCCTACTCCCCACTTCCTGCCGCCTTCTGCCTCCCACCTACAACTTTCGACTTACTTACGACGCGCTGTTTGCTCCTGTCGCTATCCCTACCTCTGCCGTTTACCGCAGGAGCAGGAGCTGGAGTAGTAGCAGAAGAAGAAGTAGTAGTAGCAGCAGGAGGAGTAGTAGTAGCAGTAGTAGCAGTAGTAGTAGCAGTAGTAGTAGCAGTAGTAGTAGTAGTAGTAGTAGTAGTAGTAGTAGGAGAAGTAGTAGTAGTAACAGTAGCAGTAGCAGCTGCAGCAGCATCTGCAGCAACAACAGCGGCAGCGGCAGCAGCTCCTCCTCCCGTCCTTTTTTAACAGATCCTGCTACCGCCAATACCACCACGATCCAGCACGACACTACCGGTTGCACTTACTAACGTGGCTGTATGCAGTATTTGACAGGAGGGCTACTAGACACTGAACCAAGGTTTCCGTGCTTGTGGGCTGTTCAATCGTTGAATTCTTCAAACTCTGATGTTGAAGCCTTTTCGGCCTCGAGAACGAGCAGAGGCCCTTTGCATCTTTGAGCAAAGCCGAGACAATGGCATTCGGGTGGAAAGTTCAGCCATGGTGCAATGAGAATTTGCCCTTGTCTCGGTAATCAGTCTTAAAAATTGCTGACTGGGGGAAGTTGCAAGCTCCCAGCCAATTTGCAGCAAACTGCCAGTTTTGTCGCGTCCGGCGACCTGGGTGGCACTCCCGTCAATTCTCCCTGGCGTCTGCAGTTCTCTGTGCAGCACAAAAGAAGCTGAAGCAGA